TAATTTTTTTTAATGAAAAAATAACTTTTCTAAAACAAATGTAGTCATTATCCAATGTTTTACAAATCTCTGTAATGTGTGACTTAAGATAGATTCTGCATTCGATCTGTTGCATTTTGCTGTTCGGGTTAAGGATTCTGAAGAAAATCTGGCCTCACACAGATGTATAGTTAGAAAAGGGAGGAGTATCTTACTACCTTTTGCAGATAATTGTGTGTATTCTTTGCTATTATACCCAACACAACAAGTATTTCTTAAAGGCTCATTGCAGTGTGGGATCTGAAATATTTAATTCAATGTCGTTGGTTCCACATTGGTCTATCTTGCATTTTGAATGGATCTTTTAGCTGTGCATGATTTTATAACCTCTTACATTGGTCATTTGGAAAATATTGGTTCACGAAGTTATGCACATCTTCCAAATGTTGACATACTTTGTTATATAATATCAAAAAAGGACACCTTTGTTTTCTGATCTTATCAGAAAAATCTTTAGGTATTGGGAAACTGTGAAGCTCCTGGTAGTAGATACACATTTTCAAAATTCTCCCTTTTTTTTTGTGAGGTAGATTCTTGCTCTGTTGCCCTGGGTAGAGTGCAGTGGCATCATCTTAGCTCACTATAGCCTCAAACTCCTGGGCTCAAGCTATTCTCCTGCCTCATCCTCCCGAGTAGCTGGGACTGCAGGTGTGCACCATGCCTGGCTAATTTTTTTTCTATTTTTAGTAGAGATAGGGTCTTGCTCTTGTTCAGGCTGGTCTCCAACTCTTGAGCTCAAGCGATCCTTCCACCTTGGCCTGCCAGAGTGCTAGGATCACAGGCGTGAGCCACCATGCCCAGCTTGATAGAATTATCTGATTATTATTATCAAGACCAGATAGTGACTATGTCCGTTTTACTCACCATTGGGTCCTGGGGACCTGGCCCAGGGCCCAGTACACAGTAGACAATCAATGAGTATTTGTTGAATGAAAAAGCTGCTTTGTGTTTGGCCCTGTGCTGGGAGTTGGGGGCCTAGAGCTGTGTCAGACATCGTCCTCCTTCCCCAGATACTCCCAACCCAGTGAAGGAGCTGAGTTGTGCCCTCAGATAGGCATGTTCCCAGCTAGGAAGTAGCAGCTCTGTTGAGGATGCTAGGATGTGTGCTGAGGGTGAGGGCCCAGGGCACAGTGGGGCCTCCATGGCTAGTGCAGGGGACAGTGGCCAAGTCCTGGCAGGAACCTGATTCCCCAGACCTCTTAGAGTAGCACCCATCTGGTTTGATGGCATCTTTTGTTCCTTTGTTTTCTCCCTCAGGTCACAGTTACCTAGAGAGGCTCCTGAATGTTGAGGTGCCCCAGAAAGTTGGGTGAGTTCAGTTCTAGGGCTTAGGGGGTGGGCAGGGACAGTGGGGCCCAGGAAGGGAGGTGAGTGCCAGGGAGTAGAGACAGCCTATGAGCTGTCGTTCCATCCTGCAGGGGGCTGTGGGTTTGTGGCCAGGCCCAGGGACTTGGGCCTTGACCTCTTGGGTCCCTACCGCAGGGAGTGGGGGAGGAGCTCCCTGTGAGGGAGGGCTTGGACTGGCTAAGGTCCCCACGGTGCCTCTGCTCTGCTTTCAGCCCCAAGCAGAAGGAGCCCAGCAAGGAGGCTGAGCTTGTGGAGTCAAAGGAGCCAGAGGTAAGAGGCAACTCGCTAGGGAGGGGAGGCCTCATCCAGGGCCCCTGCTCTGCACTGTAGCCATCCTGGGCCTTGGCTTCCAGGTGGGAACCCTAAAGCCTTGGTTCTTCTTGCAGGTTCCTGAGAACAATGGGAATAACTTGAGGCTCCACAGTGATACCAAGGTTGCCCTTAGTACGCCAAACCCAAAGCCTGTAGCCGGTGGCCAGGAAACACCCCCTGAAGGGCAGCAAGGTGAGTGTTTCTGGCTTGCATGCAGATCCCCCGAGGTGCAGCAGGCCTTGGTGGCCTTGGTGGTCTTGGCCTCACCTTCTCTTTGGGGATAAGGAAGCCCCATTTTCTGGGCTAATAGGCCAAAGATAAATGAAACTGGGCTAGGGGAGTGCATGGATCTCCTTTGAATCTTTAGCTTGCATCTCTCACCTTTGGGCTGGAACTGCTGCTGAGTGCCCCACAAGCGTCCGTGACTGGCTGGGGCAGGACACAGGGGAGAGGCCTGAACTGGGCTATTAATGTGAAGGTGCCAGGTCAAGGCCTTGAGCCCTACTCCAAGGGGCAGTGGGAACTGTGGGCTGGGAGTCTGAACACCTACCTGGCCTCCTATTTTATCTCTGCCAAGTTTGCAGTTCCTTCCCTGTCTAAAGAGGGCAGGAGAACTATGGGCTCTGGGAGCGGGTCTGGAGCCCTGCCTGGCTTTCCAGGCTACGGGGGGTGTCCCGGGGTCTGGCTCACGTCTACCTGGGAAGGGCACTTCTCTCACTGGTGGGAAGAGGACTATATCTGTGAGAACTTGGACATGGCTTCGTCCTCTTTATGATGGGGTCAGGATCAATGGTATGCCAGCCCGACAATCCCCAGGGCTGCTGCAAGGAACCTTCGGGATAAGGGTTGCTTTCTCCTAGCAGTGAAACAGAATGTACTGACCCTGCAGTGGGAGCCGTCCCCTCCTCTTGTCACTGCTGCACCAGGTGGAAGGGCCAGAAGGAGTGGGATTTAGAAGCTATGCAAGGAGCTGTTAGCCTCAGCTTTCGTGAGGCATCTGCACACAGCTCTTACTGTTAGAGGTGGGTGGGGCATGGCTGGGGCCTCCTAGATAGAACTGTCCTGCCTTGCCATGCCTGTCACACAGGCCAGGCCTGGGAGGAGTGGTCTGTGGGCTACGGGGAGCAACCCAGGCTCTGATGTCTATAAATTCCTCAAGGCCAGTCAGTGCTAAGGCTGATGTTTGAAGGAGCTTTGCTCCTTCCAAGGCGGCAGTTGGCAGGGCACCCCTTCCCCTAACCCCTCCATGTTCACCCTGCTGCCATCATTCCTGCAGCCTTGCTAAAATTGCTCTCTTCACAGAGGCCAAGACCGACCAAGCAGATGGGCCCAGAGAGCCACCTCAGAGTGTCAGGTTTGCATCTAGGAAGGGGTGTGTGGGTGACTTGGTTTTGAGGGGCCCAGAAGAATGTGACCTTGAGTCCTCACTCAGGAAGACTGGATGTGTGGTCAGGGGCTCCCTAGCCTCTTGACCAGGGTATGGCCTTGTGCTCTGAAGGAAGTGGCTTCATGCTTGCAGGACCAGTACTGGCCTGGAATGGGGTACCCATCTGTTGACGCTGTTACTGACCATGACCTTGGACTGGTCACCTCCCTTCCTCTGAGTAGGCAGCAGAGGGTCGGTCACAAGACCCCAGCTCTGTAGTCCCTTTCAGTCTAGAGGCCTATGGCCTGGGCCCAGTTTTGTTCACAGGGGTGACCTTGTGTGGGGTGTGGCTGGGACTGTGGTGGTCTGCCCCATGATGCTGCTGCGTGTGCCTTGACAGGAGGAAGCGCAGCTATAAGCAGGCGGTGAGCGAGCTGGATGAGGAGCTACACCTGGAGGACGAGGAGCTGCAGCCTCCCAGGAGCAAGACCCCTTCCTCGCCCTGTCCGGCCAGCAAGGTGATCCGGAACCCGCCCTCCCTGTGTTTCCTTCCCTGCCTGCTGAGTTCTGACGCTGGTCCTTGTTTGCAGGTGGTGCGGCCCCTCCGGACCTTCCTGCACACGGTGCAGAGGAACCAGATACTCATGACCCCGACCTCAGCCCCCCGCGGCAGTGTCATGAAGTCCTTCATTAAGCGCAACACTCCTTTGCGTGTGGACCCCAAGGTGAGGGAGCCCGTACCCCAGGCAGGGCTTTGCGGGAGCTGGGCCGCATGGCTGAAGGCTCCAGTCTGTCCCCTATGCTGCTGGGAGTAGCATGTGTCTGGGCAGAGGCAGGCCCAAGCCTCTGTGGCCACAGCTGCCTCGACATCTGGGGACCTTGTCCTGACCTTGTGGGCTCTGGACTGTGGCCCAGAAGCTCAGCCGGCTAAGTGTGAGCCCTGAATCTCAGGTTCTGGGCTAAGAATTTGCAGGATTGTCCAAGCAGACCCCTGCACTGCCCAGCCACCCCTGGCCCTGGGGTCTGAGTGGGCACAGTGAGGGACACACGTGGACACCTTCATCATTGGGGCTGAGGGTTAGGTGAGAGGAGGGTGGGTGAGTGGGTGGGTGCTGGTGAAAGGGTGCAGGCCCTGAGACACTGGCACAGCTGGGCACATGGCCTGCCTTCCAGGACGCCCCTGCATGGCATTAACTCTCGGCTTTTTCCTTGTCTCCTCTCCTCCACAGTGCAGCTTCGTCGTAAGTAAAGCCTTTTCCTATGTGGTAACCTAGCCCCACCTAGCACTGACCTGCAGTAGCCCTGTCCCTGCACCACTGACAGCACCTGTAGACGCACTAACGTTGTAAGCGGGAGGGGAGCGTTAGGAACGTGGACAGTGGGAGTGTACTGGCTGGAGGCGCCCAGAAGTTCTGGGGTCTGCATCCTCCCTGTGCAGTGCCCTCTCTGCCCTCGAGTCTGCTCCCAGGAGGAAGCAAAAGGGACTTGTGGCCTGTGGCTATTCACCAGGGCCACAGCTTGAAGTGTTCCCCCACAGCCATCTCCCCAGCACTGGGCCCCACTCAGGGTCTGTGGGTCTGCGAAGAGAACAGACAGGTTGTCTCTGGTCCCTTAGAGATGCTGAGATGATGATGATTGGGTCACAGACCTGTGCAGTAGCACTGAGTTGGGGAGGCAGTAGGAGAGGGGAAGTCTAAACTGAGGCTGGAGGCCGGGTCTTGCCATGCCAGGTGACAGAGGAGCTGTCAGTGGCAGCATCTAGAAACAAACCACAGGAGCTGTTCTCTTCTCAGACACCTCAGAGCTGAGCTGAGCCAGGCCCCTGGCCATGAGCAAGGAGCCTCAGAGAAATGGGACCCACTCAGCCCCACGTCCCGGCTCCCTGTGCCAGTTGCCAAGGCTGCAGCTGCTTCGCTCCTGTAGCTCCTGCAGGCTTTCTTCCCCCCAGCCACACAGTGATGCCCTGTGGCAGCAGGGAGGGCCTCTGCCTCTAGCTGAGGGGCTCAGGGGTGGGAGGGGCTTTGCAGCAGCTGGCCAGGTGGGCCCTGAACTTGCCTCTCCTGAACAGAGGCCTGTCACCTCTGGTTAGACAAGGTGACAGCATGCCTTCCAATATGACAGCAAGTGGGCTCTGTGGCCTTACACAGCTATTTTCACTCCAGGCTTCAGCTGGGCACCTGGGCCCACAGCGTGCAGAAGACTTGGACTTGTTCCTCCTATGAGGGGCCACCTGTGCCCCACCCAGTCTGATCAGAGCCTTGCAGGTCTCATGGGTGTGACTGAGAGGCCCAGGAAGTTGCCCTTTCCTGCTTTGGGGATCCCAGGTCCCTGCGCAGGCATCTGGTGGGTGCAGACAGTCCTTAGCTAGGAGACTGGGGCCCAGGAAGTTTGCAGGGCCTTGGGGCCTTGGACAAGTTTCTTAAACTTTGGGCCTAAGTTTCGTGGGCCACAAACAGAGAAACTAGTTGGGTACTTCATGGAGATTCGGTGAACCAGAAGGTAACAATGTCAAGCAGCCAGCACAGGGCCAGGTATCAAGTGGTCATTGGATAAGTGGCAGAGATTGCCCAGGGGAGGGCCCTGGACTCAGGTGGGGCTGCTCATGGTTGTGGTTCCTCCTGCCCTCTGCAGGCTGCCTCCTAGAGAGCAGGGACAGCCTAGGTTTGTGGGTTGGACAAAGGAGAAACACAGATTCTGTGACATGAATGGCTCCAAAGCACCAGGTTTTCTTCTATAAAATTGGTAATGCAACAGGATGAGTTCTCTGACCTCTGCTGGGGAAGTAGACTCCAGCTTTGGGATGAAAACCTGCAGTGCTGAGCCTTGTTGAAAGCTGGAGTCTGGTTGGCTCACAGAGCAGGAAGAAGGTGGGGTGGGGGTGACTGCACCTGGTGCCACTGGCCTCTGCTTCTGAGGGGCTGTCCTAGCAGGAAAGCAGGCAGGCATGGCTTCGCAGGAGAAGCAGGGTTGGGGCCCAGCCCTCCTGCCATTCTTCCCTGGGTCTGGGTAGTTGGAGAGTGAGGGGCCTGCAGAAGGCCACCTCCTCCCTCCACATGGGGCCCCCCAAAGGTCAATGTCCGTACCCAGCTTGGCTTCCATAGCTCCTGGCATCTCTCTTTCCTTCCATTTCTCCCTTCATCTCTTAAACAATGTACTATGCTAAAAAAAAAAAAAAATGATTGTACCTACAGTAAAGTGGACTTTTTGTGGGTACAGTTAAATATGAATTATAACACATGTATCAATTTATGTAACACCATCACAATTGGGGTATAGGACATTTCCATCACCCACAAAATGCTCCCTGCTACTCCTTTATGGTCACCCCCCCACCCCTGTCTCCATCTCTGTAGTTTTGTCATTTTGAGGACATCATATAAATTGTATTGACTCATAGGATGCCTTTAGAGATTAGCTTCCTTCACTCAACACGATGCCTTCAAATCCACCTAAATAATTGTAGTTGAAGTGAGTTTCTTATAGACAGCATATAATCGGGTCAGACTTTCTTTTTTTTTAATTCATTCTGACAATGTCTTATTTGATGTATTTATATTTAATGATATGTTTGGATTTAGGTCTACCTTTTTTTTTTTTTTGAGACAGAGTCTCGCTTTGTTTCCCTGGCTAGAGTGAGTGCCATGGCGTCAACCTAGCTCACAGCAACCTCAAACTCCTGGGCTCAAGCAATCCTTCTGCCTCAGCCTCCCGAGTAGCTGGGACT